CTAAGCATTAGCAAGTCTAATTGTAGAGCTAATGTTGTGAGTGCCATCAGCTCTCCTGGTCCATCTCCTGGAGTTGTGCCTCAGATTGGGCAGGTGCCAAATGTGCCCTCAGAGCAAGCCAGAAGGCCAAGTTCTGCCTTGGTGGCAGCGAGCTCTACCATTTCAGGTCATTAAAGGCAGGCAGATGCTTCTAGGCTCTCGAGAAAGGGTCTTCTGGGAACTTAGGAAGACTTAGGAGTCAGGCAGATCCAGGTTAAAATTTAGCTGCATGACTTGACCTTGACAAAGTTACTTAATGTTCCTAAATGAAGACCCTAGAGTGTATAATAAGATGCTTAGCACACGTGCCTTTCAAAGTTCTTGGAAGAAGATGAAGAAAAAAGAAGAAAACTAGCATCGTAGTAAAATGCACATGGTGCAGGGTACAGATGGGGCGCTCAACACCCCCTCTTGCTCTCCGTTTGGCTATTTATGCAGAAATTCAACCATTTTAGAGGCTCCTTCAGTGCAATGTTGTGATCTGTCAAACCGAATTTAGGGCTGAAGCTGAATTTGAAACTTTCTCCAACAGGAAAAACTGTGTAAAGCAGTAAATATTCTTTCCTGATATAATTTAAAAATAACTCTTTAAACAAATACCAAAACTTTCTCTCAAAAGTGAATGCCAGACAGAGAAGAAAGGCCTGGGGGGGGGGGGCCTCCACAGCTACCGAGAATGCTCCCGGTCCCGAAGAGAGCCGAGAACACCGGAAGTCCCAGATGGGGTAGGTGCCGCATCCCACCTCCTCCAGAGGGAACCCTGGTGACCATGAGCCTCTACAAGCATAGCTGGCTTATGCAGGAACCAGGACTCTTACTCCAAACCGTGTGGCCGCTTATGTGGCTGTGCGACATCTTCTTATACATAAAGTGGTCAATGGAAAGTAAATTCTCCAACGTTTTTCCCTGTAAATCAGGCTTAACTCTTTTACAAACCACAACACCGAATAGGAAAGAGAGAACAAAAGGGAATGCCCTGCCACAGAGGCAGGGTGGGATGGGGATGGAATGGTGGGTGGGAGGGATACTGGGATCCGTGGTGGTGGGAAATGGTTACTGGTGGATGGGTATGCAAAATAAATAAATAAATTTAATTAAAGAAAAAAGTGAATGCCAGTCTCTAGTCTATTGACACAGACAGATTTGAAAATGAAAGCAGGAGCTAGAGAGATAGCACAGTGGATAAGGCGCTTATCTTGCATGCAACCGACCTGGGTTCGATCCCTGGCATCCCATATAGTCTTCTGAGCCCGCCAGGAATGATTCCTGAGTGCAAAGATAAGAGTGGCTCCTTAGCACTCCCAGGTAAGGCCCCCGCTAAAAAAAGGAAAGAAAGAAAATGAGAAGTAGACTGGAATGTCTGTTGTGATTTGACATTTGTGAAATTAATTGGTACGTTTGCAGCTTCTGCCACTTCCTATCTGGAGAGAGTCCTGCTAATTCTGTTAAATATTGTCACAAAATATGACTTAGGGAGGCTTTTTCTTTTAAATAGAAAACTTTATTGGAAAATAGAAGGGAATGGGAAGGAAATTCCCTAAATGGGGAGGAACATAGGATAGGAATAAATTGAGATTAATCCTTAAATTTTTTTTTTTTTTGCTTTTGGTTCACACCCGGCGATGCACAGGGGTTACTCCTGGCTCTTCACTCAGGAATTACTCCTTGTGGTGCTTGGGGGACCATATGGGATGCTGGGAGTTGAACCCAGGTCGGCCACGTGCAAGGCAAATGCCCTACCCACTGTGCTGTGGCCCCAGCCCTATTCCTTAAATAATTTTTAAGTGGCTTTAACATGAAGCAAAAGTGTTCTGCTTAAGATACAGGAAAGAGAGGTTGTCAAAAATAAGATGAACAGGTAACATTCTACAGAAAACTATGTAGACAGGCTGCACTATTTTCTATTCCCTGGGAAAAGATATGACTATTAAAAATTTTTCAGCCTCGGGCTGGAGAGACAGCACAGCGGGTAGGGCGTTTGCCTTGCACGCAGCCAACCTGGGTTCGATTCCCAGCATCCCATATGGTCCCCTGAGCAATGCCAGGAGTAACTCCCGAGTGCAATGCCAGGAGTAACTCCTGTACATCGCCAGGTGTGACCCAAAAAGCAAATAAATAAATAAAGCACAAAAACATATCTTAAATATTTAAAAAAAATTTTTAGTGTCACTTGTTATAATTTTTGCAATGCAGCAGTAATCAGCAATATTTCTAAGGAATAAATCACTGGGATATTTATTTTTCACCTTCTGTGTGTTCTTCCCAGTGGACTTTTTATCACATGACTTTATTAGAATGGTGGAGGGAAAGGCAAACAAGTCAGCAACTGCACTTAGCCCCGAAATTGTATGTTGATTTAGATCATTCATGCGATCAGTTATCTGCTAAGCAATATAAAATCCTTCTTTCAAAAAAAAAAAAAACGCTGAAGATCAGAGTACTGCCATCCTGACATCCAGCAAAGGAGACAAACATCTTTTTGTTACTATAGTGCTTTGGTGAAATTTTATCTAAAGCAGCTTTTTGTTCTTTGGGGTTTCTTTTTGCCACACCCAGTGGTACTCAGGGATTACTCCTGGCTCTGTGTTAGGGGGCTGCTCCTGGTGGTTCTGGGGGACCTTCTGTAATACAGGAGATTGAACTGAGTTCAATTTGGTGCAAGGCAAGTGCCTTAATCCCTGTAGTTTCTCTCCAATTCTGGTTGTTGTTTCTGTGAAATATGCTCAAGATTTTTCACCATCTTGAATTGGTGGAGCTGAGCACAGTCTCCAAGTACCAAGAGTACATTCCTTTTCTTGAAGACCTCAAAGGGTTTGTCAAGAGCCAATAGAAGCAAAGATCACACTGGACACCTTAATTTTACACAGGCTTTGACTGTTAGTTTCCCAATTTGTATCGTTTATTCTTTCCATTTGATTTTTAAGAAAATTGTAGCATAAAACACACACACACACACACACACACACACACACTTGACATACTAACTCTACTAGTACCTTCAATTGAGAGTGTATGAAATTCATCATTTTACTGTCACTGTCCTCCCGTTGTTCATCGATTTGCTTGAGCGGGCCCAGTAACATTGTGAGACTTTTTGTTACTGTTTTTAGCATATCGAATATGTCAAGGATAGCTTGCCAGGTTTTGCCATGTGGGCGGGATACTCTCGGTAGCTGGCCGGGCTCTCTGAGAGGGGCGAAGGAATTGAACCCCAGTCAGCTGGGTCGGCCATGTTCAAGGCAAATGCCCTACTCGCTGTGCTATCTCTTCAGCCCATCCTTTTACTTAAAGAGAATATATATATATATATGTATATATATAAGTCTTCCTACCCCTAAACATCATTTGTTTTCTTTTAGTCTTTTTTTTTTCCTTTTTGGGTCACACCTTGGCAATGCACAGGGGTTACTCCTGGCTCTGCACTCAGGAGTTACTCCTGGCAGTGCTCAGGGGACCATATGGGATTCTGGGAATCGAACCCAGGTCGGCTGCGTGCAAGGCAAACGCCCTACCCGCTGTGCTATTGCTCCAGCCCCTCTTTTAGTCTTTTCACCTGTAAAATAGGAACAGAATAAATACTAACCGTTGTCCATCAAGTGCAGGCACTCTACTCAGGCCTCACACCCCTTTTTTCTAGGAAAACCCCAAAATTTCATTTCTACCTCCTTGTCTTGTGCCTTTGCAAATGGCTGGGTTGCTTGTGGGACAGCAGAGGAAGGGCCAGGCTAGGCATATGGTGCACAGCAGTACTGCAACCATGCCCTTAACTCCCCACACCCCAAATTGTGGGGGTAATCCAAATCTTCACCCCAACCCAGTGACCTGAGCCTTTGGCTTGGACCTTTGGTTGGGAAGGGCTGTGTGTCAGGCGCCCAGTAACCTGCAACTCGTGCCTCTGAGACCGGAAGCTTTGCAAGAATCTGGGCACGGCCAGCGGGCCCCACTGGACTTTCAGGGCTGTCTTCAGAAACCTGTGAGAAAACAGTATGTCAAAGACAGTCTGGTAGGAGCCAAACTTTGCCACTTCTTAGCAGAATAAACTTGTTAAGTTGACTTCATTTTTATTTTTATTTTATTGATTTATTTTGCTTTTTGGGTCACACCTGGCTCTGCACTCAGGAATCACTCCTGGCGGTGCTCAGGGGACCGTCTGGGATGCTGGGAATCGAACTCGGGTCGGTTGTGTGCAAGGCCAACGCCCCTCCCGTTGTGCCATCGCTCCAGCTCCTACTCCACTTTTAAACTCCGATTGCTTTTGTAAAATAGGGATGCAATACAGTGTACATATAGGCTTCCTCAGACTGCCCAGGGCCAAATGCGACGGGGCATGCCGAACACTCCTTGCACTGCCTGCACAAAAGTGTTCAATGAACGGTAACTGTTCTGAAAACGGGCGATGACTGGAAAAATGGGATTTAAATCAGCAGGATGCACCTTGGGCCCAGGTCCCAGGCCTAATCTGGTCCCGATGAGGTTAGCGGCGCCCGGAGCGGAGGGGGGCGGGGGAGACAGCGGGCTCTGCAGCCGCGCTCCCTAGCGTCCAGGGATAGCGCTGGACCCAGCCCCGTCCTCTGGCCGCCAGCACTGCCACGTCTCGGGAGCTCGGGCAGCGCAGGAAGCCCCCGCCCCCCGCCCCCGCGGTACGTGGCGCCGAGCCCCGCCCCTCCGCGCCGAGCCCCGCCCCTGGCCCCGCCCCGAGCCCCGCCCCCTCCGCCCCGCCCCCTCCGCCCCGAGCCCCGCCCCTCCGCGCCGAGCCCCGCCCCCTCCGCCCCTAGCCCCGCCCCTCCGCCCCTCCGCCCCGCCCCTCCGCCCCGAGCTCCGCCCCCTCCGCCCCGAGCCCCGCCCCTCCGCCCCCGCGTCGCCGGGAGGGCAGCGCCGGGGAGGCCGAGCGCCGTGACGTGGCGGGGGGCGGGGCCAGCGCCGGCCGGAAGTCCCGGGGGCGGGGAGTGACGCACATCCGGCGAGTAGCTGGCGGTCCGGGAGGCTGCCGCGCCGTGCGCCCGGAGGAGGGTCGAGGCATCCCCCGCCGCCGCCGCCGCAGGAGCCCCTCGGGCCGGTGAGTCGGGCGGGCTGGCGGCGGGGGCGCGGCCGGGGCGCGGCGGGCCGGGCGCGGGCGGGGCGGCGCGGGCGGGCGGGGCGGCGCGGGCGCCGGGGTGGGGGGGAAGTGACACGCAGGCGGTTCCGCCGGGCCCCGGGGCCGGTTCTGGGCGGGGACGGGCCGGCCGGGGGGTCCGCGTTCCGCTCGGGGCGCGCAGCTGCCGGGGTCCAGCGCCCCGGCCTCGGCCCCGGCCGCCCCGCGGCTGCTCGGCCCGCGCCCCCCCGCGCCCCCCGCCCCCTCTCGAGGCCGCGTGGGGCTCGGACCCCCGGGCTCGTGGGACCCTGTGTTCTGGGTCGGAGCCGCGTCTCCTTTGCTTGCCCTGCTCGTCCCCCTGCTCTCCGGGGCAAGGAGACATCCCTTCCCCTGCGTCCGCCTGTGGGTGGGGGTCTTCGCGGCCCCAGCCGAGAACGGGGGTACCGAATGCCATTGGGGGGCTCGGCATACAGCCGCCCCGCGCGCCCCTCTCCTGTGCCCCCCGACCCACCCCTCCGTCTGCTCGGGTCGTGCTGTCGGGTTTGCAGAGATGCGCAGTGGCGCCCACCTGGGACCTTGCTTCTCAGCACCCCTGCTCTTGTGTGGTCGTGCTGCTGCTGTTGTTGTGCTGTTGTGCTGTTGCTGTCGTTAGCCAAAAGCCGGTTGTCCCGGGCAAGCTTGGCAGGGGGGTCCCAGGGCTGGTGCAAGGGTGCACGTGAGACGGCGCAGAGGCACTTGATGGGCAGATGATGAGTCCGGCCGCCCCTCCCCGGCTGTATTTGAGCCGGTCGGGCCAGAAGTCTGCACCCGGCAGTGCTCTCTCCTTGGGAGTTGTGAGGGTCCCTGCTGTGAGGGGCTGGAACCAGAAACGCGTAGAGATTGATGTTAGTGGTCAAGATGCAGAGGGGTGATGAATTGGCCCGGCAGCAAACTCGCCCAGGTGGTGGTCTGTGCACTTGGGGGCCCTAAGGAAGCGTTTCTGTTCCTGAGAAAAAGTTATTTCGTGATTTGGGTTTGCTGTGATGGTCCCGGGGAAGAACTTTGGCCCTGGGGTGGAAAGAGGGGGGCGTCCCGGGCGGAGTTCAAGAGGCTGCAGCCAGCCCTTCGCCTTCTTCAGGAGGCCCAGGTTGGGACCCCAGCGTTTGTGATGCCCTGAACACCAGGCAGGGTGTAGCCCCCCAAAACAAGTAGCACCCAAGAAGGGGGAGGGGTGGCAGCCACTGTTGACTTTCTCAGCTGAGCTGTCCGGAACCCGCCAAGGCTACCACTGCCTCTGCCTTGGGACATGAGGCTGGGGATTCTGGCTTTTGTGAGGTTGGTGTGAAGGTGGAATGAGATGTCTGTGCAGGCACCGAATAAGCCTATTTTTAAGTCTATGGGTTTTGTATTTGCAGGGCCCTCCAGGCCTGCGTGCCGCGATCCTGGGGTGGGTCAGGGCCATCAGTGGCTAGACTGTGCAGTGCTCGGACTCGCGCTGGCCGTTGGAGCCGAGAAGTCATGCCTCCTAACCCGCGACTAGCTCCCCCGCTCACAAATAATCTCTGGAACAACTCAGGAGCGAGGGGCACACGGCCTAAGATCTAGAAGACGGGGAGACTTCCAGACCTGGTCTGTACCGTTGGGAGCCATTACAGCTCAAATCGTTCTTTTTTGTTTGCTTGAGTTTTGTGTTTTGGGCCGCACCTGGTGATGCTCAGGGATCGCTCCTGTTGGGCTCTGGGAACCATTGGTGGTACCCAGGGTTGAACTCTTGAGGTGCATGCAAGACAGGTGCCCTGCCCACGCTGTCATCTCTCTCTGCGCCCCTTTTTGTTTTGTTTTGTTTTGTTTTGGGGCCACACCCGGTGATGTTCCTCCTCTCTCTGCACTCGGCAATCACTCCTGGCCGGGACCGGGCACCATATGGGATGCGGGGGTCGAACCCAGCTTGACTGTGTACCGGGCAGGCACTGTCTCTCCAGCTCCTCTGTCATTTTTTTTTTTTTAACATCCCCTGAATGATGACTTTACACACTCAATCGTTTGAGAGTGAGGATTTAGAGGATTTTTAAAGCTGGGATGGCAAAGGAAAATGCCAAAATGAAAGGAGTTTGTTCAGTATGAAAAAATGCCATCCAGAGTGAGATATTCTTGTCATCTTTGCAGAATTCCTCTAGTTAGAAATACTTCGGAAACGCTTTAAAGTTGGCGGTGTTTGTAAAGCATTGACTGCTGAGCAGTGTAGTATGTAAAAGGGCGTGTAGGTGTCATGTGGAAGGTGGCCCAGACAGTACAGCACATGCCTTGGTCCCTGACACTTGCCAACACCGCATGGCCCAGTGTCATGAACTGACCTGGACACTACAGGAAGTATTACCTCCTCTCACACACACACACACACACACACACACACACACACACACTCCTGAGATCAGAGTATGATTGACCTTAATGAGAAAAGAAAGAAGACAGGCTTGCTGGCAGTGTTCTCCCACCCATCGTAGGAACTGAAATACACCTGCTTCATGTGTGTGTTTGCGTCCTCACACCTCCTAAAGTGCACATTGAATTTCCAGACAAAACTCTTATTAAAATGTTAGATTTCGGGGCTGGAGCAATAGCACAGCGGGTAGGGCGTTTGCCTTGCACATGGACAACCTGGGTTCGAATCCAGCATCCCATATGATTGATTCCCTGAGCACTGCCAGGAATAATTCCCGAGTGCAGAGCCGGGAGTCACCCCTGAGCATCGCCGGGTGTGACCCCCCCCCCCAAAAAAAAAGGTTAAATTTCATTTTTCTGTAAAATGTGTTTTGATAGAATTGAAAAAAGGTCAAATAGCTTCTTTAGTATTTTCCCCCCAGTCTTAGGGATCAAGCCTAGGTCTTCAAATGCAAGGTAAAGGACTCTAATGCTGTGTTCCCCAGCTCTCCACATTTAGAATCTCTCTCTTTTTTAAGAACGATTTTACAAAGAAAAACAGACAGAACGGAACAATAGTACAGTGACTAGGTGCTTGCCTTCAATCCCAGGCACCCCAGATGGTCTCCCAAGCCTCTTCAAGAATGATCCCTGAGCACAGAGCCAAGAGTCAGCCCTGAGCACTGCCGGGTGTGAGAGAAAAAAAACAGTAGGAGCACATTTAGCATCTCATAATAAGAGCTTTTCCCTCTCTTTCTACCCCTCTTCTAGGCTTCATTTGGTGTACTTAGCTAAAGCCAGAGAAAGGAAACCTTAAGGCATTAAGGTCGGGTCATGGGCCTGACCACCCCTCCCCTTAAAAAAAAATGAACCCCGTGGCTGGAGTGATAGCACAGCGGGGAGGGCATTTGCCTTGCACGAGGCCGACCCGGGTTCGATTCCCAGCATCCCAGATGGTCCCCCAAGCACGGCCAGGAGTAATTCCTAAGTGTGTGAGCCAGGAGTAACCCCTGTGCATTGCTAGGTGTGACCCAAAAAGAAAAAAAAAAAAACCCTACAGTAATTACTTGTATTTTTGTTGTTGTTGTTGTTTTGGGACCACACCCAGAGGCAGTGCTCAAAGGGTTTAATCCTGGCTCTGTACTCAGGGGTTACTCTCGGCAGGACTCGGGGGACCGTATGTGGTGTTGGGGATCTGACCCGGTTTTGTAGGCTGTGTGTAAGGCCTAACCCGCTGCACTATTGCTCACCCTTCAAATACCCTCCCCCCCATAAAAACCCAGTAATTGAATGAAAAAGAAACTAACTTGTCTTGGGTGAAGAGTATAGGGGACTTTGTGGATAACGTTTTGGCCAACCCGAGTTCGATTCCTCCACCCCTTTCAGAGAGCCCGGCAAGGTACTGAGAGTATCTTGCCCCCACAAAGCCTGGCAAGCTCCCCGTGACATATTCGATATGCCAAACACAGTAACAACAAGTCTCACGATGGAGACGTTACTGGGCCCGCTCGAGCAAATCGATGAAGTACAGTGTCAGTGGATAACATTTGATAGCTCACTGCTTATGAAATGTTCTTTCTGGCCGCCCAGTGCTGCTGGGTCCCTTCACATCTCGCGGTGCTCGGTAGGCCTTGTGGTACCTGGGATGGGACTGTGCCCAGGGCCCCTGTGCCTGCGGGGCACATGCTGGAAGCCTGGTGCTGTCTCCTGGCCCTCGAGTGTGTGTTGTTTGGTATCCGTTGGTCACATCTGGTATAAAAGCCAGCGTGTAGATATACTTGCTAGTGGAGAAAAGTGGAAGTGGGGTGGGTGTGAGGTGGGCCAGGAGGTGCTAGCTCTCAGCAGTCTCGAGACCCGGTGCAGGGTCCTCTGGCCTGTTACCAGAGTTTACAGGTCTGGCAGCTCTGGGACTCCCTTGGTTTGTCTGGCTTTGGGGACGTAAGAGCTGCGGCATTCCTGTCAGCACTAATCAAGATGTGTGCCCGACTGGGAACCCACACTGTGCCCTAAATGAGTATTCTCGTCTGAGAAACGCCCTATTAGCGAGGTGGACATCGTGAGGGATTCTCTTATCCCTGTCCAAAATAGTTCCCCAGTCAGAGGTCTCTTTATGAGTTGAGATCTATTTCTTCTGCAAATGGAATTAAGTGCTGTTTAAGGAGAGCGATGGTAAACAGAGCAGGGAAGATTGCGCCTGCTGGTAGGGTCTTTGTGGCTTAGTGTTTAGAATCGTTTCAAGAGGACCGGTAGTATGTTTTTCATTCCTATTTTTTACTCAGGCGTGTATGTGGCATTTCAATCCGAATCAGTTCATTGAGACTGTTTTTCTAGAGGTTTCAGTCCCTAGGGAGTGTGAATGAGCAGCCGCCCGGAGGGTTCTCGGGGGTCACCCAGGAAAAGAGGAAAGTGCTCTCTGAGTTTCATGGATCGAAAACTAGTCAGAAAGGCAGAAGTTTGTCCAGGTCAAAGAACCCCAGAGCTTTCCTTCCAGGTGCAGAAATAAATCTTTTGTTTCCTTCCTCCTGAAACTGTGAACATGTGTCAGCTGAAGAGTGTTGACTTTTCCAGAGCAGTGCCAGCCCTCGGGAAGCTTAATGTGTGCCGCCTTCGTATTTTATACAGGTAGTAAGCACTAACGATGTCTTTCATCTTCGAGTGGATCTACAATGGCTTCAGCAGTGTGCTCCAGTTCCTAGGTAAAGCCGTTTCCTTGGAACTCATCATAGGGGGCCGGAGTGGTAGTACAGCGGGGAGGGTGTTTGCCCTGCATGTGGCTGACCTGGATTCGATCTTAGGCATCCCATGTGGACCCCCAAGCACTGCCAGGAGTAACCCCTGAGCATCACTGGGTGTGAACCAAAAAAAGACAAAAAAAAGAAAGAAATTCATCATAGGTTTCAAACTTTGTTAGTTTCCTATACCAATGTAAATAGAAGCTGCCTTGGGTGTAGAGAGAATTAAATTATAGTCTTTAAAAAATGTCTTTTCCTTTTTAGGACTCTACAAGAAGTCCGGAAAACTTGTATTTTTGGGTTTGGACAATGCAGGGAAAACCACTCTTCTACACATGCTCAAAGATGACAGACTGGGCCAGCACGTGCCGACATTACATCCGAGTAGGTTTGAAAATACCAGGTGACCTTTGATGCTTGAAGGTCAGTGTTAGGCTTGGAGGATCAATCCCCAGTTGCTGCTGGTCTTTAATTAGCGGCGGTCCCCAAAGAAATCGTACTAAAAACAAAACTTGGGTAGCGCACACTCGGGTCACCTGCTTAAATATCCAAATCCCTGAGCTCGATCTCACTAGTTCAGTCTGTCTGTTCCCACTGGTCTGAGAGTGGAGCAGCACCTGCATCTCTGTTTGAGAAGCAGTGAGCACACGGGAGGAAAAAGAAATGTGGCTTCCTAGACTCACTGGAGAGCAGCTTCATTCTGTATCCTAGACAAAGTGAAAGTGTCATTAGTTTTGTGTTTGTGTTGGCTAGCAACACTGCTGGCCGCTGGACCTTGTTGGAAGGGGAAGTTGATTTCTTTCTTCTTTTCAGCGTCGGAGGAGCTGACCATTGCTGGAATGACGTTCACCACTTTCGATCTTGGTGGGCACGAGCAAGGTAAGAGGGTGCCGTGGAGGTGGTTGGTGTCGTTGTCCTCAGTTTGTGGCCCTCTTTTAAGGAAGAGTTCTGTCAGTTTATCTTTTAAGTTCCTTCTGTTGAAGCTTGAGAACTTAACATTGCATAATGCTGTTACGGTCACTTAGCTTTAAATAATTTCCAGCTCATCCAAAGTTGCCGTAATAATGGAGAACTTGGGGCCCAAAGAGATAGTACACTGATTAGTCACTTGCCTTGTCCTAGGCTGACCTGGGTTTGATCCCCTGGCACCACAGAGCGTCCACTGAGCCCCACCAGGAGTGACCCATGAGTGCAGAGCCAGGTGTAAACCTTGAACACAGCCAGGGTGGTCCCCCCAAAAACAAAACAAAAAAAAAGTAGAAATAATTAGACACAGTTTTTTTTTGTTTCTGTCTGTATATAATGCATATTTTTCTTGAGCCATGGTTCATCATTCTTATACTTCTTAAAAGATTATTGCAGTTAAGATGCTTAGAAATTAATATTTCTAAGAAAAACATGAGATCTTTAATATAATCATAATTGTTATCAAGCCTGAATATTTTGTTTTTATGTACTCTAAAGAGTTGCTATTAACAAATGAAATCTCCACCCTTTTTCCACTTACCCACTAAAGCTGCTTCATAGTGTCTTTCTTTTTGAACAAAGGTCAGGCCTTATTCATGTCTCCTTGTATATTTTATCCAGTGTAAGTTTGTAAAAAATGAAATTTTAATAAAAGTATTTTCCAGGGGCTGGAGCAATAGCACAGCAGGGAGGGCGTTTTTGCCTTGCACGCGGCCGACCCGGGTTCGATTCCCAGCATCCCATATGGTCCCCAGAGCACCGCCAGGGGTAATTCCTGAGTGTAGAGTCAGGAGTAACCCCTGCGCATCTCCAGGTGTGACCCCAAAAGCAAAAAAAAAATGTATTTTCCAATTTGTCAGAAGTTGCAAAGCAATATAATGACTACTTGTGACCACTCTGATCAGATGTTTGTACACTCAGCCCTTTTAGGGTATCTGGTAGGACATTTTCTTTTTCCCCCTCTCAATCCTTTGTGCTTTACTCCTGCTGTCCTCAGTGGTTCCCAGATTCCTACCAGACGTCTTACATGTGTGTCAGAGATATCCAGGTTGGGCAGCTTTACCTCATGGGTACTCTCTTAGATTTGACAAGACTGGACTTTGGGAAAGAAAATATAAGAGGTGGGAATAAATATGGGGGAGAATTGAAAATCTGTAACTATTGAAAATCCATCAGATTTACTCATTTGTGATTATGCTGAGAAGTCTTCATTTTGGAGCATTATAGCTGCTCCATTCCAAAGCCTAGTTTAAAACATAGAAAATTGGTAATTTCTGGAGCTTCATTCAAATAATCAAATAGTTTTCAACAGAAGTATCATGTATCACTGTCATCTCGTTCATCGATTTCCTCCAGCAGGCACCAGTAACGTCTCCATTCGTCCTGGCCCTGAGATTTTAGCAAGTGCCATGGAGGCTCTTTCAGGGTGAGGGGAATGAGACCCATTGTTGTTACTGGGTTTTGACATACCGAATACGCCATGGGGAGCTTGCCAGACTCTGCCGTGTGGGCAGGATATTCTCGTTAGCCTGCTGGGTTCTTCGAGAGCGAGAACTAGAGAATTAAGAAGCCACATGGCCACAAATGCGGCTGCGGGCTTCCAGGAACTTGTTTTTATAGTCTCTGGGTCTTGACCGTTGATGGGTTACACGGTGCCAGGGGTAGTTGGTGGGTGTAACTAACTGCCTAGCCACTGGAAGATGGGGGATCTGGGTGGAGGAGGCCCAGTTATGATCTAAGCAGGCTTGGGAGATCTCAGCCCGGGGTCCCACACGTCTGGGTTCCTTTGCCGGTTCCTTCCTGTGTGAGGCTCGTCCAGGCATGTGGAGAGTGGTCTTAAGCATGGGTGTGGCTGGGTTTTGGAGGTCTTCAGCTGCCGGGGCTCTGCTCAGGGCGGGGAGAAGTGACCCACATAATTTTTTTGTGATTTCATTGATAAAATTTTATTTTAATACCTTATTTATTTAAATTTTATGCCTTTTAGAATTTTATTTATGAAATATTTACGTTCTATAAAATCACATATATAACATCATAACCACGTAAAATACATGTATAGGAAAAAGAGACACAGGACCTGGGTTGTACCTCAGCAGTAGAACTTGACTTTGTTTGAGACCCTGGGTTTGAAAAAAGGGGGAAAAATGTTGAAAGAAAATACATGAAAACATGAGCAGTGGATGTCAAGTTTTATGGAGGATTATTATAATTTGCCTTGTTTTCTTTTCCACGAGTTTTTATTTTGATTGGAGTAGGGTGACATCTTTTTATGCTTCTTTCAAAATAATTCGAAACTGCTTGCAGGTTTATATTTAGAGGTAATACAATTCTAAGTTGAACTGGACTACCTGGAGATTCAGAAGGAGTAGATTTTTTTTAAACCAAACTGGGAATTATGTATGTATTTGCATTTGGTGTGATAGGTCCATGTTTCAGCAGTCAAAAGGGAAATGTGTTGATGGCACATAATTTGTCTGGGAAAAAGAAACACCTTTTAGCAGTAGCTGCTTCACTATTATTGTGCAGTTACAAATACATATTATTTTTCATTACTTCAAATTTTAAGTTGCAGAAGTAGTAGAGCCCAAAGTATCAAATTCAGTATGTAATCAGTATACAGACATGGAAGAGAAAAGTGAAAGTTTGGGGCTGGAGAGATAGGGCAGGGATTAATGTGCTTGCCATGCTTGCTGCCTGCTGGGGTTCGATTCCTGGCACCAGATAGAGTCCCCTGAGCCCCTCCAGGATTGATCCCTGAGCACAGAGCCAGAAATAAGCCCTTAGCCCAGCTCTCAGCCACACGGTGGTCCAAAAGTAAAACAGAAAAACAAAGGAAAGTCCTTCAACTCTTCCTTCCTCATCTCCTTTTTCAGGTGGTTATGGTTATTAACTCTTGAGGACAGATGCTTCCTATTTGTCCAGTAAAGGACTTAGAAACTACTTGAGTAGTGTATTATTTTAGTAATGCACTAAAGCATTGCTTCCCAAAGTACCATTACTTCATGTTAGAGGCAGAAATTAAATACTGGGTACACTAGCTGACTATTGAGGTCTGGGACAGTTGGCACGTGAACTCAACTCTCCCACCAGACTGAGTGTCCCTGAGCACTGTGGGGTGAGTATTCAGCTCATGTAAATCGTTCTTGCAGTGAAACTCTCAGGTAAGTTGTGTGGATAAGTTTGCATTCTGCTGTTCTAATCCTGGAGCTTGCAAACTTAAGTGGCTCCAGGGAAAAGGAAGGTCCTTTAAATTCTGTAAATTGACCGGGCTAGTAGGGAGTGGTGGAAACTTGGGTGGAGCCCAGACTTGTTGAAAAGGGAAGCCACTGCTCCTTTCCTGCTGCTGGGTGATGAGCAGTTGGGCAGCCTGAGTTTCCAGATTTGGGCAGAATCATCTACATACTTGAGAAATCAAATTCAGTCCATAAACCATCCATTGAGAAAACTCTCTCTTCCCATTTCACACTGGCTGGGATTTGCCAAATCCAGATGGTGTCTAGAGATACTGAAACTTGACCAAGATTTCCTGTTTTATAGACTTGTGAGGACATTTATGTAGAAAAAAACTTTCATTGATGTAGCTATAAACTTTGTCTTCTAGCACGTCGGGTTTGGAAAAATTATCTCCCAGCGATCAATGGGATTGTTTTCCTGGTGGACTGTGCAGATCACCCTCGCCTCATGGAATCCAAAGTGGAGCTTAATGTAAGTTCATATTTTTCCCATTCTTGGCCTGGGTTTCCTTGAATGACTGTAGCTTAGTACTGCCAAAGCTTCATCATTCCAATTAACACTTGATGGAAGACTCAGTTATAGGAAGAAGTGTTTCCCCTTAAGACACTGGTTTTCAGTGTCCTAGGGACATTCATTTTGAAATTGAGTAAATTAACTGTGTATATTTTATTGGGTAATGTTCTAATTTATGCCTATTTGTGCCTGTTTATGCCAGAACAATTAAATTAATGTCTTTTCTATTTTTACGCCATTTGCGGCTCGTTTTTCTGATGTGTTGGCGTAGTGAAAACGCGAAAGAGATAATAAGGTTCTTTGCTTTTGAATCTGCGTTCTTGGGTTGTGGCTGCAGGCTCTGCCTCTGTGTGCCTCTGGTGGCGGCCTGTTCTCAGGTGTAAGCTGTGGTCAGTGCTGTGTGTGATACCATCAGGGGCTGACTACAGGTTTTCTCTTCTCTCAGCATTGTATTTTTGTGACGTGACAATTTCTGTAATGGGAACACGTTACCCCTCCTGCCTAACCCTGTGCTGTTTCCTTCTCTTTGGCTTATGACTGTTACTAGTCGTTCTTAACTCCTGACAGTTTGAATTCGTCTCAAATTTGTAAGTTTGTCCTGCAAATCTAGCCCATTTCTCCTGTGGAATCACATGCAGTTAAGTCCTTCCAGCCTTACTCGAGTTCTTGGCACTTGATTTTCTTTTTAACACAAATTCCCCTTGGTTAGGAGCACTCTGTGGCTAGCATTTCTTAAACTTTTTCAGACCAACCTGTTCCTCTTCCTCTGCCTGGCCTTAGCGAAGTGTCAGTGTTTTCCAGGCTCTTCTTTCAAGCTTGTCCACGATACTCTGATTCCCTCTTCTGCCACCCACAAGACCGTGATCCTCAGTGGATTTCTCTGTTGGGCTGCAGCCTCATGTGTAATGCTGGTCGACGACTTTCCAACCATTTTGCCTTCTCAGAATGAATCGGTCCTGGATCCGGAGCATCATTCAAGATTCCTCCAATACCCTGCCACTAGTTGTAATGCTAGAATGAACTTTCTTAGACCTGTCATTGCACTGTTCAAAATCTTTCAGTAGGCCACTTTGGGATGAATTCTACAGATCTTCTACATTATAAGATCTTACATGCTTTTCTGATTTTTTTTTCTTCAGCTTCTTTTCTCTCGGTTTACTGTCTTGGACTAGATTCCAGACTAGTTGCAGAACTACTTGTCCTTCCTTGAGTTTGCAGACACGCCTCTTCCTGCCTAACTTCACTAACCCCCAAACTCTTTGCTCGTAGGTTTAAGAGATCTCAGTTCCGGTTTGACTACTCCTTAGCTAAGAAGAGCTTTTGACCTCTCTGACCTCTCACACTTGCATTCTCCACCGTCTCAGAGTCTCTTGTCTTGACTGGCTCCTTCCCATCTTCCCCCACCAAACTGTGCTTTGATTGCAGGGACCTTGCTATAGTCCGTTGCAAAATCCTCGCTTCAAGCAAAGCATAGGACACTTAGCAGGCCTTTGAGTAGTATTCAATAAATAAATGCCATCTCTGCTCCTTTTTTCTGCCATTTCCTAGTATGTTATCCTTTATGCATTCAACTCACTCTCCTTTCTTAGCTTTTCCGGTCCTTAAAGAACTGTGTTCTCAGACTTGAAGTCTCTGCTAGTGGGTTTTTTTTTAACCTAACTTGTCATGTAGATGTCGGACTCTCTTATCTCATTACTATGTGGTAACGCTTGTCCTTTCCACGGAAGGTCTGTGGCCCTGTTCCGTTTGTGTTGCCCTCCTACCTGGTCGTCATCTATGTTATTGCTGCAGCTTCTGTCATCTCCGTTGACTACCTTGAACTACATTCAGGGTGCGACAGACACCTGTTTGTGGATTCACAAAGAAGAGAGCCTATCCAGGAGCTTGTGGGGTTGGGGTTCAGTCTGTTACAGCCGATTTCTCAGCCTGCATCGTGATTCCATTTGCTCTGTTATTTCTAGCAGCATCAAAGCTTGAACCCGGCAGGTACACTCCATGAGGTTTCCAGGAGTCCCTCCCCTGAAGCCATTCCTTCCATTCTGTTTCCTGTGCACCTACTCAAATCCTGCCCTCTTTTAGAGCCCAGTTCAGGATTTATTTTTATTAAAGTGTTCCTCAGTCCTACATTACCAGTTAATTTTTTCTGATCTTTCAGTAGTTGTGTTCCGTTCCATTCGTTTTGACCCCCTTGCTACATAATCTTGTTGAAACATGTGGACGTAAGAGTGAGGATTTCTTGAAGCCAAGTGTAGATCTTTTTCTTTCCTTTGTGTCCCTTTCAGTGCCTGACAGAGCACTTTAGTGCACTTTGCCTATATTGAATCACTGTATCACTGTCATTCCCTTGTTCATCGATTTGCTTGAGTGGGTGCCAGTAACGTCTCCGTTCGTCCCAGCCCTGAGATTTTTTTTTTCTCCCTTTATTTTATTTTATTTTTTTTTAAAGTTGTAGATTTACAATTTTTTGTGCTTTGGTTTCAATTATACAATGATCAGATACCCATCCCTCCACCAGTGCCCATTTTCCACCACCATGGATAATATCCCCCCCCCACCCCCATCCCCCCATCCCCCCTGTCTCTGTGGCAGGGCAATCCCCTGTGTTCTCTCTCTCCTTTTGGGTGTTGTGGTCTGCAAAAGAGGCATTGAGTGCCCAGCCCTGAGATTTCAGCAACCTTTCCTTACTCATCCTTCCCAACGGTGCCTCAGTGGAGGCTCTTTCAGGGTCGGGGGAATGAGACCCATTATTGTCATTGTGTGTGCCATATCAGATACACCATGGGGAGCTTGCCAGGCTCTGCCGTGCAGGCAGGATAGCTTGCTGGGTTCTCTGAGAGGGAGAACTAGACTATAAGAGGTAGCGTGGCCGCAGATGTGGCCGCGTGCTTCCAGGAGCTTTGTTTTATAGTCTCTGAGTCTTGGCCGTTGATGGGATTACATGGCACTGGGGGCAGTTGGTGGGCATAACTGCCTAGCCACTGGAAGATGGGGAATCTGGGTGGAGGAGGCCCAGTCCCAATTTGAGCAGGCTTGGCGATCTGGGTTCCTCTGGGTTCCTGGGTTCCTTTGCCAGTTCCTTCCTGTGTGAGGCTCGTCCAAGCGTGTGGAGAGTGGCTTTGAGCGTGGCTGTGGCTGGGTTTCGAGGTGTTCAGCTGCCGGGGCTCTGCTCGGGGCTGGGAGGGAAACTCGACCCAACCCCCTCTCGAGGGGCCCCAGTGAGGACATCCTGGCGTTGGGGCAGGAGAACTCTGCGTCACTGTCTTCTGGGAGCTTGGTTTTTTGGTCTCTAGATCTTGGCCATTGATGGGATTACATTAATTTTAAGATAATTTTTACCTAATTTTAATTTTAAAGGTGTTACTGATGTCAAGATTAACTTTTAGTTTATCACTCAGGTATAAAGAAAATCCTATTTTCATGTTAACCTTGAAGTCTTAGAGACAGGTGGACATCAAACTTGTTTTTAATTGTTCAGTGGTCTTTTAGAAGTTCCTCACCGAGCTCTTTTAAAAAACTCTTGTCTTTAGGCTTTAATGACTGATGAAACAATATCCAACGTGCCAATTCTTATCTTGGGCAACAAAATTGACAGGACAGATGCAATCAGTGAAGAAAAGCTCCGTGAAATATTTGGGCTTTATGGACAGACCACAGGAAAGGTAAGAGAAAAACCAACAGGTGCACCTCAAGGAAATTCCCAGGGCACAGTCGGTCAAGTTTCCTTCTAGTAGTTTAACTCAGCTTTGCATTTGCTTTACTCTGTGTGAAGGCAGGAGCACGTTCTTTCTTACCTGTATTCTTTCTTTTGGAGTTCTTCTGTTTTGTTTTGGGCCCCACCTGCCCGGGCCTCCTGTGTGCGACGCCTGCGCCCAGCCTGCCAGGCCAGCCCTCCAGCCCGTCCTTACCTGCTTTCTAATGACAGGAGTTCCTCAGGCATTTGAGGAGGAAGGCAGGCAGCGGTAGGAAAGCCAGAATTACTGTTCCAAGAGTTTTCTTTCAGATCTGATCATGAGAAAACTTAATTTGAAAGAGCCTTTCTGAGCCAGACCATTTTTGTTTTTCGGAGGGAAGGTTTCAGGCTACCAACCATCATGACCCTTTGTGGTACTTCCCTAGCACTGAGATCAGAGCACACTGATTATTGTCAGTGTTGCTTGCTGCGTGAGGTAGGGTCCCGATCACAGCTGAGCCATGAGGAGACTCGGTGTGATCTGTTCAGTGTCCCCTGATTCATCTAGGAACAGACCCGAGTCTGTTGGACCCTGATCAGCAGGTTATGCCATCGCCATGGATGAAGACCTGTCGCAAAAAATGCAATTGATGAAGCAAGAAAATTCTGGGTTCTGGCATATTTCATTTTCTGTAGCAAAGGAGCTAGCTCAGAAGGTTAGAGTGCACACCCCCCCACCCACCCATGCACACACACAAACACACACACACACACACACACACACACAGAATCACTGTAGGGTGTGACCCTAAAACATTGAAATTGAATTTTTTTTCCTGAGATCTATGATAACTCTTGTGTTTTCATGTATTTCTTTAGTCTGGCCTCTTCCCAGTTAATCTGGTTCTTTCTAGAAATGCTTCCATTAGCTCGTTCAGTTTCCCTTCTGCATGTGATTTTCACGCACTTCATTTCTTTTTTCCTTTTGGGTCACACCTAGCAATGCTTGGGGGTCACAACTAGCGGTAGCTTGGGGGACCATATGGGATGCCGGGGATGGATCAAACCCAGGTCGGCCGCGCGCAAGGCAAACGCCCTCCCCGCTGTGCTATCGCTCCAGCCCCAAACTTCATTTCTTAATTTCCTTTCTGTTAAAACCTGGGATTGGTATGGATTTCTAATTGTGTTAATAAGAGAGTCCTTGGGGCTGGAGCAACAGCACAGTGGGTAGGGCGTTTGCCTTGCACGAGGCCAACTCGGGTTCGATTCCCAGCATCCCATATGGTCCCCTGATCACCGCCAGGGGTAATTCCTGAGTGCAGAGCCAGGAGGAACCCCTGTGCATTGCCTGGTGTGACCCAAAAAGCAAAAAAAAGAGTCCTTATTCTAAAAATTGCCCAGCTTTTTTTTTTTTTCCTGTCCCTTAAAGAGTTTGTTGGTACTGTGGGTTCCAGTGACCTTCTTTCTGTTTTACTGCCGTAACTTGCTGGGTGCGTGTGGGGCTGTTCAGTACAAATGCTTTTCACATAGAGGCCGAGACTCTAATGGTCCGGTCTGCTCGGTCCTGAGCGGCTGAAGCTCTTCAGGAGCCCTGGAGGGCCTTGACCACGTTCTCTGCTGAGTCCCATTGGGCCTGACTTCTGAGGGAAGGAGAAAGTCGTGATTTTTTGTGATGCCCCGGCTGACGGGTCTTCCTGGTCTTGCCCCGCAGGGCAACGTGACCCTGAAGGAGCTCAACGCCCGCCCCCTGGAAGTGTTCATGTGCAGCGTGCTCAAGCGGCAAGGCTACGGCGAGGGCTTCCGCTGGCTCTCGCAGTACATTGACTGATGCTCGGACAGTGGCAAGAAAAGAGTCTGACTTCTCTGGACTGATCCTATTCGCAGCTTCCTCATGAACTTTTCTGATAGAACACGGAAAGCGCTCCCGCCGCGTCTGTCTGGCGCTGAGAGGCCGAGAGGCCGTGTCCGCGCGCTCCTTGCCCAGTGGTGACATGTGCTCTTCTCTACGCCGGTGGGAAGCGATGCCCCCCGTGTGTGGACAGGCCAGCCTCCCACCCCACCCACCCCTGCTCCCCGGACTCGGAAGCCGTCAGGATTTGCCGGGTCAAGCTGTGTGCTGCCACGGGGCACCTGGGAAGAAAAACACGTCTCACCACTGCGGTTGATTTCAAAAGAAAGTGATTCTATTTTTTAAAGAAAGTGTGGTCAATATAATTGGTGTCCCTCCTAACTTTTTAAGTTAATATACTTGGTCCAGAGCTTTCTGTTCTTTTCTTTTCTTTCTTTCTCCTTTTTTTTTTAAAACTTAGCAGAAGACATTTAGATCAGAAAATTATGCACAGGTCTTTGTGAAGGCAGGACTCAGTGAAGTGGGTCCTGTTGAGCTGGCAGGTGGAGAGAGACCCGCCTTCCCTCCATCCATGTGGCAGCCCAGAGGACTAGCAAAGGGCTGGATGCTGGGGTGGCCGTTGGAGCTGTCCTCCCGCGGGGTAGGGCATTTCTCATCATGAAGGTGTTGCAGACCTCGCCTCAGCGGAGGCTGGGAGTGAGCGCTTGCTGTCTTGACCTATCAAGTTCCAGATTTCAGCCAGTCTTCGCTTTGGTAGGGTTGGGATTCCATTTCTCCCTGGCCCCTCTTTTCATGTTCAGCTCTAAGCAGTGATTTTTGCCTCCAAAAGAATTGAGGGTGTCCTGTGTCATGGTACCCTGTGGATGTGTCTGTTACTTTCGCCAATTTGAGGAGAATTTTTTCCTGACGAAGAGTCATAGAACACAAAATCAACAATTTATGGGCTCTTAATCCTGTGAGTCAAGAACTTAAAAATCTGGGACCGTAGCATTTGACTCTAGGCCCAATCTACTTAGCGGGCTTTCAAATTCCCGGTTACAGAACTGGGCCTGTTAATTGAGCATTCGTGAGCTCTGTCTTTACATTGATTTTCAATTTTCTGTTGTTTGACGTTAACCTCTGTAGCTTTTCCAGATTTTTTCCCTCCCTTTTTGTATGAAGTTGCCTTTCCCCATTCCAGGAATAAGCTGGGAAAACGTCTTTGATTTTGTGTAGCGCTGTTCCTTTTGAGCAATTTTCACTTCGTGTCAGTAAGCTCCCGCTGTAATAGCCCAGTACCCCTAGTAGCATGAGGATTATTTTTATAGCACTGCATTTTCTTAATGCCCTGTGTGAAGCTGGATTTTGCATGATCTTCACCAACATTCCACCCTTGTAAATGTTGAGGCGACAGAAGGTGGTTGCAAGGTGGAAGGGTTTCTTCATTCAGTTTCCTGTTCATGAAAGGCTAGAGTTCATTTGCTCAGAATTGGAAACTGGAGTGATCAGTGCTTATTTGCAGAGGGTAGAGCTAACAGCATCATCGCATCATCCCAGTCTCCTTAAATGCGAGGGTCCAAACCCTGGATAACATTCCTGGAATGGGAGAGAATTCTTCCGTCAACTTCTTAAGGTTACTTGGTTCTGACCTCTGTGAAAGTGCATTATTGCCACTGCCAGGTTCCAAATCCAGAGGCTCAGTGAAGTATAAGTCTGGGGGAAACGCCATTTCATTTATTAGCAAGCGTTGCTGTCGTAAGACAAAATCTGTTGGTTTAGGAAGTGGTTCAAGCCTTAAGTAAACACAGCTAGTGGTGAGTGGACTAGAGCATTAATTTGCATACTTTGGATTATTTTGGCTAAAGGTAAGCTGTATTTCTCATCCTGAGATTTGAGAAGTATGATTGCTTCAGTGTTGCTTTCTTGTTTCTGTTCCTTGTTCCATATCACTTTGTAGCGAACTAGGCAACTATGGATTCTACACAGGGCAGCTCTTTGTGAAAGTGGCTCATTTTGGCCACTGGAGAAAGAGTAGATTGAAAAGTCAAGTCACATCAGTCATTTCTTGCCCCACAGAAAACATCGTTCCTATCTCTAATGGCAGAAACACGCTGCTGTGAGGAAGTTGACTCCTAATAGGACCAGAGCTTGGGATAGAAACTCCCATGAATCGAGAATTTTCATTCTGTTTTATCAGAGTGCATATATGTCCTATTTCAGGAAAAGCAAAAGTCATTTACAAAAGAAAATCTGTATCCTAAGCATTTTAATAAAAAGTTGAAACAAGCTTGCCATAACATTCCTTTCGGGGAAGGGTGGGGTGTCGATTTGTTCTGAGTTTAAACAAACGGACTGTTTCTGGGGGAGGGGAGGGGAGCGGAGGGGAGCGGAGTACCTCTGTGGGAAAGAAGCATTGGAATGTGAAACTTCAGTTTTGCTACCAGGAAAAAGAAGATCAATCCTCATTCCATTAGAACTAGTGAATTGTTGAATACTTTTTGAGGGCCTCCGAAAGTGTAGTACCAGGTGGAAATACCCAGGATCAGACAGACACAGGTGACATTTGGGAAGGCAGTGTGGGTGGGCAGTGGAGTCCTACTGTGTTGACAAGGACTGGGCCCAGCTGAGCAGTTTCATTTTATACAACGTGGTAGAGACCCATTTCAATGTCATATTTGGCAAAATGAAGGAACAGAACCTGTGCCGTGCATTTATCGCTAGGTTGTAGGAAACTTTGTTTTTAGAAAACCCTAAATGAGATTCTAGAACTGAAAGCTTGGGGGCAAGCGGAATGGGAAACAAAACACAACAGGTTCTGGGCTGGAGCGATAGCACAGCGGGTAGGGCGTTTGCCTTGCACGCGGCCGGCCCGGATTCGATTCCCAGCGTTCCGTATGGTCCCTGAGCACCACCAGGAGTAATTCCTGAGTGCATGAGCCAGGAGCAACCCCTGTGCAACATCGGGTGTGACCCAAAAACCAAAAAAAAAAAAAAAAAAAAGCAAGAGGTCTTTTTTTTTTTTTGGCTTTTTGGGTCACACCCAGCGATGCACAGGGGTTACTCCTGGTTCATGCACTCAGGAATTGCTCCTGGCGGTGCTCGGGGGACCATACAGGATGCTGGGAATCAAACCCGGGTCGGCTGCGTGCAAGGCAAACGCCCTACCCGCTGTGCTATCGCTCCAGCCCCAAGAGGTTCTTTTTGACGCATTACTAAGCTAGTAGAAGCAGCCTGTGATTGACACTAATGTGGAAGTTGCATTGAGAGGCTGCCACAGGCTGTAGAGATACAGGCTTGTTTGTGCACTTGAGTCAGAATGAAACACGAGTTTCAAAGGCTGAATCAATGCACCAAGCACTCAAGGGTCGCACCTTGGCTGATGTCTGTGACTTGGGACTCTGTACATGGGGATGTGTTGTAAACACAAAAAAATCTGACGCATAGCTGCTTATACTGGAGCCTCGGGCGTCATTAAGGGAGAATCACTGGGCTCTAGAGAGAAAGAATCTCTTAATTGCTAGGAAGTTGGGATGTTAAAGAGATTTGACTGATGAGGCCATCTCTATGCCAACACCTGGAAGACATTACCTGCTGCATGAAAGCTGCTGATTTCTGTCTACTTCTTTCTCTTAATAGGTCATTTTTCCTTCTCAGGTATGTATGACTGGGAACACAGAAATGTAGCCAGTGCTGAGCCGGGAAAATACCAAGGAACCATTTTTTAAAGCAGTTTCATTAGATTACTGTGGGCAGACGAGAGATCTGGCAATGGGTGGGGTGCTTCTCTTGCATGTGGCCGACCTAGGTGTGATTTCTGAACACACACAAAACTCAGCTCTGAGCAGTGCTGTGTGTCACCCAATTCTCTCCCCCTCCCCTGCCCCTAACTAAGGTCTTAAAAAGGCCATAGAGACAGTACAGGTGTAAGGTGCCTGCCTTGCACATGAGTTTGATCCCAGCACATACGATCATTCCTGAGCCCCACCAGAAGTGATCCCTGAGCACAGAGCCAGGAGTAAGCCCTGAACACTGCCAGATAAAGCTGCAAAACAAAATACCTGGGGAGGGACAGAAAGATACCACTTACATGCACATGGTTGTCAATCCCTGGCATCACACATTTCCTGAGCACCGCAGGAAATAGAAGCATAAATCAAAGCAATAAAATACTTAAGAGTGCCTGGAGAGAGTGCACAGGGCCTAAGACCTTGCAGAAGCCACAAATGGTTCCCTGAGCATCCCCTGGTATCCCCCAGGAGGGATCTCTGAGCACAGAGCCAGGAGTAAGTCCTAAGTACCACCTGGGATGGCCCCCAAACCAAAACATAACAAAAATACTTGAGGTAGACAGGTCATGTAAATTTTGTAGGAGCAAATTTTCATTAGCGTAGGTGTATAGTAGAACATCTGATTAAAATTTGTGTAGTCAACGACTTGTAAAGCAGACCCTCATAAAACCGTCACTTGTGACTGGGAATGTGAAAACCTTTAAACTTGCTAAGGGCCAGAGAGATAGTTCAGGGTTTTAGGTGCTTGCCTTGCCCGCAGCTGACACCAACAGTGACCCCTGACTATGGAGCCAGAAGCAGCCCTGAGCAAGCACTGCCAGGCATGGCACAAGAACAACCAAACATACGTGCCCGCGTACACACACACACGTATTCCACTTCCTCGTCCTCCAGAAAGCTCAGGGAAACGAGACGTTTCTTACTGGCTCAGGCTGCAAACCACAGCGTGCGAGCCAAACCTGCTTTTCTGCCGGTTTTTGTGTAGCCGGTGAGAAAAACACAAAGATCAGAGATGAAAGGTGCATTGCCAGGGGATTGCCCTGCCACAGAGACAGGGGGGATGGGGGGATGGGGGTGGGGGGAATATTATCCATGGTGGTGGAAAATGGGCACTGGTGGAGGGATGGGTATCTGATCATTGTATAATTGAAACCCAAGCACAAAAAATTGTAAATCTACAACTGTAAAAAAAATAAAATAAAATAAAGGAAAAAAAAAAAAAAAGAAAGTGGCATTGCCTATCAGCGAAGTCTCACTGGAACACAGCTAGTACCCCAGTCAAGTTTATTTAGCTTTTGCACGCTACAAGGGCAGAGTCTTTGGGGTGGTGGCTGTGTGACAAAACCTTCACTTTTCTTTCTCAGGCCGACCTTTCTCAGAAAAGGCGTTTTCTGGCCTGGGGCCTGGCTGAATTCCGGGTCAAGTGCCTGTCACTCGGTGCAAAGTGCCTATTGCAAACTAAGCACCGGGGTGGATCCTTGAAATGTTCCCGTTACGGGGCTGGAGCAATAGCACAGCGGGTAGGGCGTTTGCCTTGCACGCAGCAGACGCAGGTTCGATTCCCAGCATCCCGTATGGTCCCCCGAGCACCGCCAGGAGAGATTCCTGAGTGCATGAACCAGGAGTAAGTCCTGTGCATCGTTGGGTGTGACCCAAAAAAGCAAAAAAAAAAAAAAAAAAAAAAAAAAGAAATGTTCCCGTTGCTATAAAACGGTGGACCAGCAGCGCCACGCTGAGCTTCAGCACCGCAGACACCCCTTCGCACCCCAGGGCGGGGCGGCCGAACGCCTGCTGGACCTGGGTAGCCGCTGGCCGGTCCTAGCACCGCCTGAGCCAGCCCGGCCGCGTTCGCGTTCAGCTTTCAGTCCCTTCCGTGCCACCCTCCGAGCCGAGAGGAGCCGGGCGGAGGCGGGGCCGGCGCCGGCCAATGAAGGCGCGGATCTGAGCGCGGCGGGCGGAGGCGGGGCCGACCCCGGCCAATGAGGGCGCGGATCTGAGCGCGGCGGGCGGGGGCGGGGCCGATCCCGGCCAATGAGGGCGCGGATCTGAGCGCGGCGGGCGGAGGCGGGGCCGGCCCCGGCCAATGAGGGCGCGGATCTGAGCGCGGCGGGCGGGGGCGGAGGCGGGCCGGCCCCGGCCAATAGGGCGCGGATCTGAGCGCGGCGGGCGGGGGCGGAGGCGGGGCCGGCCCCGACCAATGAGAGCGCGGATCTGAGCGCGGCGGGCGGAGGCGGGGCCGGCCCCGGCCAATGAGAGCGCGGATCCGGGCTCGGCCAATCGGGCGCGCCCGAGCTCTCTCTGCGGTTGCGGGCTGCGGCCCGGCCCGAGCTGCTCCGCCGCCGCGCCGGGCCGCCCGGACGCCGGTTCCCGAGCCCATGGGGCGGCCGTGGGCGTCCGCCACGCAGGCGGCCGAGCAGGCGGGCTGCGTGGTGAGCGCCTCCCGCGCCGGGCAGCCCGAGGCGGGCTCGTGGAGCTGCAGCGGCGTGGTGCTGAGCCGCAGCCCCGGCCTGGTGCTGTGCCACGGGGGCATCTTCACGCCCTTCCTGCGGGAGGGCAGCGCGGCGCTGGCCGCGGCCGGCAGCGCCGTGCTGCCGGGCGACTGCTGCGGCGACGACCTGCGCCTGCACGTGCAGTGGGGCCCAACGGCCGCCGGCGCCGCGGGCCGCGCCGAGCGGGGCGGCCCGGAGCTGTGCACGCCCCGGTGCGCGCGCCGCGGGCCGGGGCCGGGGCCGGGGCCGGAGCCCGCGCCCGCGCCGCCGCCGCGCCGCCCCCCGCCGCCCGCGCGCCCCGCGCGGCTGCTGCTGCTGCTGAGCTGCCCGGCCTTCCGCGCGCACTTCGCGCGCCTCTTCGGGCCGGACGCGGCCGAGCCGTGGCGCTTCGCGGGCGCGGCGCCCGGCGAGGACGCGGCGCCCGACGAGGAGCGCGACCAGCTGCGCGCGCTCGGCTGGTTCGCGCTGCTGCGCGTGCGGCCCGGGGCGGCGGCGGGCGGCGAGCGCGGCCCGGCGCTGGCCGTGGCGCCGCCGGGGGCCGTGGCCAAGGGCGCGCCGCTGCTGGCCTGCGGCTCCCCGTTCGGCGCCTTCTGCCCCGACCTCTTCCTCAACACGCTCAGCCGCGGCGTGCTCAGCAACGCGGCCGGCCCGCTGCTGCTCACCGACGCGCGCTGCCTGCCCGGCTCCGAGGGCGGCGGCGTCTTCGCCGCGCGGCCGCCCGGCGCGCTCGTGGCGCTCGTGGCCGCGCCGCTGTGCTGGAGGGCGCGCGAGTGGGTGGGCCTGGCGCTGCTCTGCGCCGCCGCCCCGCTGCTGCGCGCCCTGCGCGCCGCGCTGCCCCGGCTGGGCCGCGCCGAGGACGCGGCCGCGCTGGCCGCGCTGCTGCCGCCCGAGCTGGGCACCCCGGCCGGGCCGCCCCCGCGAGCCCCGGAGCCCCCCTGGGCGGCCGCGGCCCTGCTGGTGGAGTGCGGCGCCGTCTGGGGCTCCGGAGTGGCCGTGGCGCCCCGCCTCGTGGTCACCTGCCGGCACGTGACCCCCCGGGCGGGGGCCCGGGTCCTGGTGCACGCCGCCGCCGCCCCCAAGTAAGGCCCGCGGACCCCCGTGGGGGTGCCGGGGTGGGAGAGGGGGGCGTGCCGCGAAGCGTCGAGGACCTCCCAGCCCCCAGTCTGAGGACCTAGCGCTGCCCCTGACACCCCTGGGCCCCCTGCGCGGAGCCTTCCCAGCCCGACGCCTCCCTCGCCTGGGACCCCCCTGGCCTCCCAGCACTAAGGAGATGGACCTGTCAGCGGGCGTTCGAGGCTCGGCTCAGTCCCGGGTCTGCACTCCCGGGTGCTGGGGATCCAACCCAGGGCGGCCGCGTGCAAGGCGAGCCAGCGTTCTGCCCACTGCTTTCGGACCTGTCAATCAGATCCCAGCCAACGCTTCTCTGACGGGTCAGCGTTACAGGCTGGGCCAGGCTGGTGTTCGTTCTGGGTGAATGCGGGCGTGGGCCCCCGAGAGGAGGGTGTGAACAGCCCTGGGCCTGCCCTCCCAGCACGGACAGCAGCCTTGGCTTCCGCAATGGGTTTCCTTACGTGTGTTCTGCCTGGTACTCTGCGGCCCCAGCCCCAGGAGCTTAACTGAGAACACAGCAAAGCACTCACGTGTTAAAACCTGGCCATCTGGACCTGGCCAAGCTAGCCTTGCAGCCCTGACCTTCTCAGATCCCCAATACTGGGCTGGGGAGATAGCCCAGTGGGTAGGCACTAGCCTTTCTATATGCAGCTGATCCCTGGTACTGCATATGGTCCCCGGAGTACCTCCAGGTGTGTTCTGAGCTGAGAAAGAGGCAGGAGTAAGTTCTGAGCACCGCCAGGTGTCACCCCCCCAAAAAAAAAAAAATTCCCAAAATTAAACATCCTGCTTTGCCATAAGGTCCTATTGGCAGCTTGCAAAAAGACCGTAACTGCAGGGGAAACTGATGGATTGCGAATGGATCCCCTCCATCCCTACAGCCCATCTGAGCTGGGAGGTTCCTCAGCCAAGTGGACAGGAAACCCCTGTTTGATTCTGGCCAGGTCACTTGGTCTGGAAGCTAAGTCCTAGGGACGTTTGCTCTGGTTTCCACCACTTGGAGCTTGGGAACGGTAACCGCCCTCTTGGGCTCAAAGGCCACCCACTTGCCTCGTGATAATACCTGTGTGTGGCCACTTGAGGGTGGAGCTGCAGCGCATGGAGCATTAGTGAGCCTGGCCCTTGGTGCCCTGCACCTAGCAGGGGCTCTAGATCTTGATAAGATATGAGCTGTGCTCCAGGAAGTGCTCCCAGTCTGCAAGTAGCATAGAAGGGTCACGTGACAGACCCAGAGTTGCCCAGCTGGTGGTTTCTGGGCTTTTCCTGCGCAGTCCCTGACTTCCTGTCCTCTTGCCGCCTCCCCAGGTGTCATTCTGTTTCCCTTGTTCGCAGGGGTGCCCAGATCTGGGGGCAGGTGGTGTTTGCCACCCAGGAGACCTCCCCCTATGACATCGCCGTGGTGAGCCTGCAGGAGGACCTGGACGGGGTCCCCATGCCTGTGCCCACGGAGCATTTCCATGCAGGTAAAGGATAGGGGGTTGCCTGGGTGGGCCTGGGAAGGACAGTATCCCTGTCTTTGCTGGTGTGTAGCCCCCTGCCCCGCACCAGGAGATACGGGAACAAACCAGGGGGCTGTAATAGGCTCGGGTGCAACCAGGGAACTTTGGGGACCACACCCAGCGGTGCTCAGGGTTTACTCCTGACTCAGTGCTCAGGGATCGGTCTCTCGGGCTTCGGGGGCTGGATGGAGAGCTGGGGATCAAACCAGTTTAAGCAAGCGCCCCACCCACTGTGCTATTGTTCCAGTCTTGCATTTTCTTTTTGTTCTTCTAAAGAAGGCTGATTTTCAGAGGGATTTTGTTTTTCCCTGTAAAGGAAATCAAGTAAGTGTAGGAGCCTCTGACCAGGCACCCCAGCCCACTCCGGCCAGACCCCTCTCCCGTCCCTGCTGGGAAACTGAGTCAGTGAAGGCGTCAGGAGTCAGAGGGCTTGAGTCAGAGCTGCTCTGGCCTCAGGGGAGCAGGTGGAGCCCCTTCCTGAGACCCTGCAGAGTCTTGTGGGGTGTCCTGAACCTCAGGAGCGCTTGAACACTGCCGACTTGGCAGAGGGCGGCCGTGGCTGTTGGGCATCTTTCGAGTCCGAGGCTGTGCGATGTGTCCCCGGAAGTGGACGCTGAGAGAACGGCCAAGAGCACAGTTTTGAGCCAGCCTTGCCTCAGCCCATCACATGCCCGTGACCTGGCGCAGGTGCCGCGATCTTTGCCTCTTCCCACCTGTGGCGGGGCCCAAGGCTCCCTGCCCCCCCGGGTGTTGAGGGGCAGGAGTGACGCGCTGAGGGCTCACGGCACCTGGTACCGGAGGCTGCTGCCGGCCTGCTCACCGTTATCAATCTGTGTTGGTTGGTTGGATGTTTTTTCCCTCCAGGAGACTTTGTGCCATGAGCAGATGGAGATTCTTTCCCAAAACGTTATTGACCACCTAGCTGGGTACGAGGAAGCCCAGAGAGGGACCAGTCCAGCAGAGGAATGAGGGGGCCTGGTGTTGGTGGTGTTTGGGGAAGGCCAGCTAGAGGCAGGGGCATCTGGGCACAAGGGCACAGTGCTGGCGGGCCTTGGTGAGGGAGGGCTGTCCCGCAGACAGGGTGGCACCACTGCTTCCCTCCTTGGCAGGTGAACCTGTCAGTGTGGTGGGCTACGGCGTCTTTGGCCAGGCGTGCGGGCCGTCGGTGACCTCGGGCATCCTGTCGGCTGTGGTCCAGGTGGATGAGAGCCCAGTGATGCTGCAGACCACGTGTGCTGTGCACGGAGGCTCCAGCGGGGGACCCCTCTTCTCCACCTCCTCTGGGAACCTTCTGGGTAACCACCCCTCCTTGCCTTCCCCTTGGCCCTGAGTGACCCGGGCTCTGTGGGCCTGGCATCCCGGAAGGAGCCCTGGGTTTTAGGCCTTTCCTGCCCCTGAGTGGGGAGAAGGAGAGAGCTGAGTTCTGACCCCTTCCCTGCTGTTTTGCTATACGTGGCCTTGGGTGAGACACTTAATCTGTGACGTTAACCCAGGATCAGAGTTGGGGTGTGAGCAGGGGGCTGGGGTGAGCCCCACTCAGTTCCTACACTGTCGCTCTGTTGTAATGGGGCACAGGCATCACTCTGGCTCTCTCCATTTTTCTTTTTTAAAAGTTGTGAGTTTAAAAAAATAAGGAGGGGCGGTCAGAGCAATAGTACAGTGGGTAGGGCATTTGCCTTGCACACAGCCGACCCAGGTTCGATCCCCCTACCCTGTCCCATGTGGTCCAGTGAGCCCAGAAGTGATTCCTGAGTAACCAGAGCCAGGACTAATTCCGACGCACTACCGGATGTGGCCCAACCCCCCCCCCCCCAAAAAAAAAAGGTGGCCCCTCAAGGCCTGAGCAGCACCACATGTTTGGGCCTCAGCACTGAGCTGCTGACCAGGTGCTGCTGGCCACGGCCCCACCTCCCCAAGCACCCATTACCAGGCTGCCAACTTTGCAAATCAAGGCAATAAATGAGGGCTGCAGAGCTAATATAGGGGTGAAGGTGCTTGTCCCGGTTCCATCCCTGCACTGACGATCCCCCAGCAAAGCTCCTGCCAAAGCAAAACCAACAAAGCATTTCAGCTGTTTAATTCTGGTAACTAGTTCAGGTTCAAAAGAGAAAAAAAATACACACACACCCACACATACACACATATATACACACAAACACATTTATACACTTGCATGAAACATAATATTTTGGGGGCCAGAGTGATAGTGCAGTGGGGAGGGTAGTTGCCTTGCAGGCGACTGACCCGGGTTCTATCTCTGGAATACCGTACGATTCCCCGACCCCACCGGGAGGAATTCGCAAGCACAGAGCCAGGAGTAGGTCCTGAGTATACTGCATGTGGCCCCCAAACAAAAACAAGCAAAATGGCACATCCTATTTTATGTTATAAAAATGACATTTTATAATTGTGGTGTCAGTGCATTAATATGATTCATTGATTGTGATTTTTTATAAAATATATATTTATTTATTTGTCTTTGGGGCCATATTTGGTGTGGGCAGTCAGTACTCAGGGCTTACTCCTGACTCTGCACACAGAGATCCCTCCCAACAGTGCTCAGGGACTGTTTACGCCAGGGATCAAACCTGGGTCGGCCTCGTGGAACCTTATTCTTACCCTCAGTCTTTTTTTTTTCTTTTTGCTTTTTGGGTCACACCTGGCAATTCACAGAGGTTACTCCTGGCTCTGCACTCAGGCGGTGCTCAGAGGACCATATGGGATGCTGGGAATCGAACCCAGCTTGGCCGCGTGCAAGGCAGACGCCCAACCCTCTGTGCTATCTCCCTAGCCCCATCTTACCCTCAGTCTTGCCAGGAAGGAACAGCCCAGCCCAGGCGGAGGGGCAGCCTACAGACTTGGGGGTCTGCATGCTGCCAAGTACTAGTGCCAGAGATAAGGACCATTGTCTGGAAAGGTGGGCATGGACAGACATGCCCTGAGCAGGACAGACAGAATGTAATGGTTCCCCTTGTCGCAGAACCCCACAGGGGTGGATTGAGCGCCTAGCACTGTACTGGCATCAGCCCAGGTGCTGAGGACACGGTGAGCAGAGAGCAGAAAGGGCGCTGAAGGAGAGAAAGGGGCATTCAGTGGCTTCTGTCCTGGAGGAGTAGGAAGCCAGGAAAGGGGGACCAGGGTGCGGGGAGCCAGTGTGTGTGTCGGGGGGAGCCTGGCACCTGTCCCCAGGAGGGGGCCCTGGATTCCTTCCCTGCCCCGTGCCCCAACCCACACCTTCTTTCCCTCTCTGCCACCTCTCCAGGCATCGTCGCCAGCAACACCCGGGATAACAACACGGGGGCCACGTACCCGCACCTGAACTTCAGCATCCCCATCACGGTGCTGCAGCCAGCCCTGAGGCGCTACAGCCAGGATGGGGACCTGGGCGGCCTGCGGGCGCTGGACCAGGCTGCGGAGCCCGTGAGGGTGGTGTGGAGGCTGCAGCGCCCCCTGGCGGAGGTTCCGCAGAGCAAGCTCTGAGCAGGTCACCCCGCAGAGGAGGGTGAGCACTGAGCAGCGCCACAGGGAGTCCGGCCCGGCCCCGTCGCCCGCTGCAATCTGGATCACACGTCTCTTCGGCCCCGTGGATCTCTGTAGCTGTGGACTCAGCCTACAGGGCTGCTGCTGGCGGGATCAGGCCCAACCTGGTCCTTGTTCTTGTCCTCTTCATGGCCAGAAGTAGCTTCTGCTCCAAGACTGCTGGAGGGTACAGGGGAGGGGCCCCACTCTGAAGATTGGGGGGTGACACACCCTCTTCTGCCAGAGACCCCCAAAGCCAGGTGTCCCTGGCTTGCAGAGAAACTTGACGTTGTGCCTTAATTTTCCAGTTCACAGATGGGTCTCAGGGGGTGAATTCTCTACCTGGGGCTTGGGAATAAACGACTCATTGGAGAACACCTAGATTAAAGTATTCAGATTCTTCCATTCCTCCCGCCTTTGTTTCAGGAGTTGAATTGGGACCCTGCCGGCTCTGGGCATGGAAATGCCCCCTTTCTATACTGCCTCTGGGGTGGGGCCTGGCCTAGGGGCTTCTCTGGTACCTGACTGGCTTCCCAGGCCAGGGCTTGTGGGCCCAGCAGGTAATGTCCATCCTGGAGATGTATTTACAGGGTGTCCCTCCTCCCCCCCGGGGGGGGGGCGGGATTAGGGCCACTGCAGCCCTCAGAACTGAGAGCAACCTTGCAAGTCAGAAGCGGGCCTTGTGCTTGGTCCCCAGCAGAGAAAGAAGGTGTTTCCGAGTCTGATGTGCTTTGGGGAAAACCAGGGAGGGTGGTGGTCGAGGAGATCTGGTCCCTTTGTGGATCAGAAACGGACAGGACGCAGTGGCCTGGGGCCTCCGGCTGCCCGCAAGAGCAGAGGGAGAATTGACTGAAGGTGTTCATGGGCTGTTCAGTCCCTGGTGTGCCAGACAGCAGCTTTGTCCCACAGGGACGCAGCGGGAGGACATCCAGGGGCCAAGGGAGGGTTGAGAAAGGCTTCCTGAGCACGCTTAACTGTAAACAGAACCAGAGTGTAGCAAGCGACTGGAAACTCGGCGTGAGGGGTGTGACCTCGCCTGCACATTCTGGGAATGCCAGTGGAGAGGAAGCTGTGAGGGAGCAAGACGTAGGTCACCGCAGTTAGCAGGGTCCTGATGGCACTGTGTGGGGGCACTTGCCTTGCAGGTACCCATTTCACTCAGCACTGCCAGGGGTCGGTCACTCGGTACAGAGCCAGGAATAGCCCTTGAGCACCCCTGGGTATAGCCATGACCCCCTCGCCCCAAACACATACCCCAAAGAAACCCACCTTGGTGGTCCTGGACAGGAAGATGTCCAAGGAAGGACTTGGGGGCAGAGAGGACAGGCAACGACACTGGAAGGGAGCTGCGTGTGGGGTCAGAGCAGAGACCTGACATGGTGCCGTAACTAAGGATGTCTCGGTTGCTTTGGACAATTGCAGTGTCCAAGTCCACAGAGCCCTGGCTGGCAGCAGCTGAGACCTTGTGATGACAGGGACGCACGGTGCTCCCCTTGGTTGTGTCTGTGAGTGTGAAACGCGTGTGTCTTGTGTCTGGTCTAGTGTCTGGGGATAAGGATGCGGAGGATACTGCTTTGTCTCCTTCCTCTTTTCCAAGCAGCGCCAGAGACCGATGGGGGCCACCCTGGCGAATGTTGGCCGTCTGGGCCGGCGGGTCCATGCGGGGAGCAACTAGGCAGGGCTGCTCCCAGGACTCACCTGGAAGATGCACGCAGGGAACATGTCCTGGGACTAAATGCAGGGCAGATGCATGTTCCCCAAGTGCTGCTCTATCTGCCAGGCCCTTTGCATTTCCTGTTAGAAGTGATTTCAGGGGCCAGAGCGACAGTACAGCAGGTGGAAGACTTACCTTCCGAGCAGCCAACCTGGCACCCCATATGGTCCCCTGAGCCCCACCGGGAGTGATCCCTGAGCCCAGAGCCAGGAGTAAGACCTGAGCACCACCACATGTGACTCCCAAACCAAATATGGTGGTAGCAGGTAGTGTCCATCCTTCCATCCTATTTTTTTTTTTTTTTGCTTTTTGGGTCACACCTGGCAATGCTCAGGGGTTACTCCTGGCTCTGCACTCAGGAATCACTCCTGGCGGTGCTTGGGGGACCATATGGGATGCTGGGACTCGAACCCGGGTCAGCTGTGTGCAAGGCAAATGCCCTACCCACTGTGCTATTGCTCCAGCCCAAACCAAGTAATTTTTTTTTTTTTTTGCTTTTTGGGTCACACCTGGCGATGCACAGGGGTTCCTCCTGGCTCTGCACTCCGGAGTTACTCCTGGCGGTGCTCAGGGAACCATATGGGATGCTGGGAATCGAACCCGGGTCGGCCGCGTGCAAGGCAAACGCCCTACCCGCTGTGCTATCGCTGCAGCCCCCCAAACCAAGTAACTTTTGAAAAAACAAAACCATTTCAGCCTCAGACCTCTCCCTTTCCCCCAGAGACGCCCTCCTTCACTGCCAAATGCTCCAGATCCTTGTAATGAAAAGTTCCCTCTGGCCCCCTTGCTGTGGCTCTGGCCGCCCCCAGGAGCACCTTCCTGGTCCTTGCTGGCTGTGATCTTCCAGGCTGAACTGAGCAGTCTCTGCGGAGGGAGTGGTGGCCCCGCGGAGCGGGCTCTGCCCCAGCCTCTCGTGACTGAACTCAGGCCGTGCCTGCTGGGCTGGGAGGTCGCAGAACTGCTTTACCTGGATTGCTATGCCCTCCTGGCTGGCCCATGGTCCTTCTTTGTGCCATTATCTGATGAGCACAGTCATCAGAGTGAGATGGTGCCGGCCAGACAGCCCCACTGAACACTTCCTACATCTCCTCTCTATACGGTGAGGAAATACGGTGAGCCTGTGTAAATAATATTGTCCCGTGGGCCAGAGAAAGAACACAGAGGCAAAAGCCCTTGCCTTAATGCTGTTGACCCTGGTTTGACCGCTGGCATGACATACCATGTCCCAAGTATTTCCAGGGGTTACTCCTGAGCACAGAATTGGGAGTAAACCCTGAGCACCACTGGGTAGGACCCAAAGCCTAAATTGATGTATGCCGGGGATTAGCCCTGGGTGAACAAACCGGAAGCAAGGATGCCACAAGGACTAAGAAGAGACAGAAATAAGGGAGAAAAATGGGGTCAGGGAGCTCACAGCCCCGAGAGCCCCTACTTGCTCCATGTGCAGTGCTCATCTTGCTGAGAGCCAGTAATCACAAAAAGGAGAACAACATTCTCTGGTCAAATGCATAACTCTCTTGGACTTTTATGTACCTGAGGGCCTTGAGTCATGGTAATCATTGTCCTTGTAAAGAGCTTTCACAACGGATGTTCTTTGAGAAAGGAGGCAGAAAACAGGTCTAGGACCCAGCCAGGGAGCACTCCAGGGCAGCATTTGGTCTCCATGCCAGCATTCTGGATTGAAAGGACCCATCACTGCCCTTCCTGTTCCTGTCTGTCCGTCTACTCCCCAACTAAACACACATACACACACACGCGCACACACACACACGTATATACATACACACTGTTCTTTATTCTGCACTTAGTACCATACTTGCCATCCATTTCTTTTTTGCTCTTGGGTCACACCCTGCAATTCTTAGGAGTCGTTTTATCCTGGCTTCTCACCCAGGACATACTCCTGGCAGTGCTCAGGGGTAGCATATGGGATGCTGGGGATCAACCCCAGCGTGGCCATGTGCAAGGCAAACGCCCTACCCGCTGTACTATTCAGTTCCCACCATCCATTAATATCTCTTGATTAGCTTTCATGGTTGCCAAATGCCAATTTTCTATTTTCACTGTTCTTCCTACATTTATTATAAGAGTTTTCTTTCCGATTCTTTAGTTACATCTTTGTGGACTCGTGGATGCATATTTCATTCAGGGGGTTATAATCCGGTATTGATTTTGATGTTTAAATCGTCCTATATTGGCCCATGAGAGCTGCCTGCAACGAGCTGTTCTGGCATCTTTCTTCCATCATGTTTTGAGCATTTCCTGCCAAACAAAATGTTCTCGGTTTACAGGTAAGTATATTTTCTCTCAATAATTCAGTTCTTCAGGGATCTTTTCCTGGAGAGTAGTAATTAGAAGTCAAGGTCTGGCTACTAGGGATGCTTATTTGTCTAGGTAGGTCCATTTCTTACATATGACTTTCTTTTTTTAAAGCCAATTATGTGGTTTAATTGGAAGGGTTCATTTTTGCCTTTATGAAGCTCTGGGTCCAATCCCTGGCAACTGCTTCCTCCTCTCCAATAATCCAATATGTGTGTGTGTGTGTGTGTGTGTGTGTGTATGTGTGTTACTGTACACTTAATATAAATATATACACTAAACCATGAGTTAACACTGATAGTTTCTTTTTGTTGTTTGGTTTGATTTGGGGGCCACACCTAGCAATGCTCAAGGGTTACTCCTGCCTTGGTGCTCAGGAATTGTTTCCAGAGGTCCTGGGGGTATGTGGCATGCAGTGCCAGGAATCAAACTCCAGGGCCCAGCCACATGGCCAGCCAGCCCCTTGTTTGAACGAAGGGCCTTACACTGGCGAGGCAGGCGCTGAACTGCTGAGCTGCCTGGTAGTTGGGATTTTAACCCAGTAGCACAAAGTTCATTCCAGAGCCCTCTTCTGAGCCTAGACCAGCCTGCTTTTCCTGGCCCCTGTGACAGCCAGTCCATTCATGACATGCTTCACAGGATGGGAGCAGAAGAGGCTGCACTTTCTAAACAGCCATCTGCATGGTCTTCTCTGTTCTCTTATCCCTCCCAAAAAGAATTGCGGGCAGTCCCCTGCCCCCCCAAAGACACCTTGGAAAGCATGCGTTAAAGATGCAGGCAGGGCAGGGGGGCTGGAGCAATAGCACAGCGGGTCGGGCATTTGCCTTACACGCGGCCAACCTGGGTTCGATTCCCAGCATCCCATATGGTCCCCTGAGCACCGCCAAGGGTAATTTCTGAGTGCAGAGCCAGGTGCATCGGCAGGTGTGACCCAAAAAAGCCAAAAAATAAAAAAAAAGATGGCGGGGGGCCCAAGAGAGAGCCCAGTGGGAGGGCAGTTGCCTAACATGCAGCAACCTGGGTTCAGTCCCTGGCACCCCGTATGGTCCCCTGAGCCCTGCCAGGAGTTGATTTCTGACTGTAGAACCAGAAGTAACCCTGAGCACTGTCTGCTGTGGCCCTCGCACAGAAACAAACCTCAGAGAGAGAGATAGCACAGCGGGTAGGGCGTTTGCCTTGCACGTGGACGACCCGGGTTCGATTCCCAGCATCACATAAGGACCGCAGGAGTGATTCCTGAGTGCAGAGCCAGGAGAAACCCCTGTGCATTGCCAGGTGTGACCCAAAAAGCAACAACAAAAACAGCCTCAAAAGATGGAAATTGGAAATGGTCTGTCTGATCCTTGGA